AAAATATTTAACACCTTACAGGTATATGCTACAATCTTATGATTCATATATTTTAATTATACATTTTTGGCATGTGATTATTTATTGAAGTAGTTAATCAATAGTATTTAAAAATGTTAATTGTTTCTTCAGAGCAGTTACAAATACTTTCAAATTATGCATGCATTATGTGTGTGCAATTAAAAATTTTGTTTTATTTTTACTGTAATATTTAATTACAATATAAGTATATATATATACATATATAATAAAATGCGAATTTATTTACAGATAAAGTGTCATGTTCAGATAATATTTAAATCAGTTACATTTTCTACATTTATTTAAAGAATAATTATAACAGAATAATTCAAAATATATAGAATGGTATGAAAAGACTTCCAAAATAAAATTGCTGTCTTTAGGAGTTCGCCTGCAATGGGACAGTAATCGAGCACCCGGAGTACGGGGAGGTGTTGCAGCTGCAGGGGGACCAGCGAGAAAATATATGCCAGTGGCTAACAAAGTCAGGTCTGGCCAAACCTGACCAACTCAAAGTCCATGGTTTTTGACCAACGAACACCTATGCCGCTATCTAAGAACACTCCACCTTCATCAACACCTTATCATCTTAAATTATCTGTATCAGTCACTAATACTTATTGATACATCGTGAGATATCCTATTATATACACATATATATTTCAATAAAAAATATATAACAGTAACGATATAGGCACAATATTCTAATCAGACATTTGTAAGATTGTAGGAAGCAATATTTTACAGCCTTATGTTAGGTAATCCACTAAACTCATCACATTTTAAAGTAGTAGCAATAACTAATTAGTAATTTGAAAAAATACATATACAAGGGATAGATACAAATAGTAACGAATGGCTCTTCTCTTTGGGATTAGGTAGTATGTATCTCGGCGCTATAGACGTGTTCAGAGAGAAAAATCAAAAAGATTTATTTTAGGCCCCAGATTGGCTTATTGTGTGTAATGCTGAATGCTTCATTTTGTTTATACAGTAAGGTAACAGGCCTTATTTTACATTGTCATTTCCAAGTTTTGTGCCTTCGATTCCACATTGATTGTATTATTTATTGAAAGGATCATCTTTTTATTGTAATGGATTTATTTTGAAGGAGAATTGCCAATTTTTTCCTTTTCTGAAACAGTATTGACAACATGAAATCAATTGTTTTCGATAAAAATGTGGCTGTTCTAAATAAATGGTAATTCACCACTATATTGACTTTTTTCTACTTCCTTTTCTACATGTAATGTTTAGGATAAAGTAGCACAGTATTGTCTTAATTATGGAAGGAAAAATACATAGTAAAAAGTGCATACTTTAACATTTAAATTAGAAACGAAATGAAATTCCTGAAATAATTTCAATAAAATTTGAATAATTTTATTAAATGTTTAAAGGCACTTAAGATAAAACTACTAACAATAATTTTAAATACTAAAAAATTGATTTTAATTATAAATATAATGGTATTTAATTATCGTTTTTGCATTCAGTAGTTAAATATTTTATGAGTGATTAAAAAGTTAGTAATTTGTTTATGTCCTAAGAAAATTAATGATTTAGGCAATCATTAAGATATAAAAATTGAAGTTTACATTTTTACATACGTATGGGCATCTGTATTTTCATACATAGTTCTTTTTTTGATTAAATGCGCACGTTAATGAGTATTATAATTTTATATTGAGTTTAGGTTAAGTTTAATATCTATGTTTGGTTAATTATTACAATTGAAAAGTGGGGTTATTAGAATTACTTAACAAATTATAATTACTATATATAAATATGTGACGTAATATTAATACCAATTAATTTTGGCTGAATGAAATAAGATAATCCTTACATATTTTTGAAGATTTGAATTTACCGGATTCGAGTTATGACAATTTAACCATCAGATGTCACTATAGTCGGGCTACATACTTACGACCCACAATGCACTAAGCTACGGCATGTGCCTTTCTGTGTCGGCCATTTTGTAGTTTCCTTGAGAAATTGTGTTGAGTTGATTCATCTTCTCGGTAAGAATTTTATAAAATTCTAAAACGGTGCGACTCACATTGATCCAAATGATGTAGAGGATTGAGGGCAGATGCTTATGGCTAACTATTCATAGCTTGAGAACGAGGAATAAAGTTGCGTTTTTTGCGCACAACCGTGTGCGCTCACGGTACTTACACCCGAAGAACGAGCCAGTAAACGAAGCTGCCGAGAACACCTATTGATAAAGGCACATGGAATCCGGGATTGTTTCGGGATGAATGGTGATTTCGGTAACGATATACGATACGCATAAGTGTACTGTCCAAGTGGTTGTCACCATATCTGCGTGCGTGAACGTGTTGGCCCGGCCAACGTCTCGCTCTATATTTGGCTAATCGCATCCAACATATTGCATATCTTGCCTTTTCAAAATTTTTATTTTTCATGTCGTAACCTTTCCCAAAGAACTATATCAGAAGGATACAATGTGACGTTTAAGTGTGAATGCTTGACGATTGCACATTGATACTGAACAAGAACAAATCTTAGCATGTGGCACGGTTTGTACGATCAACATTCAATTTTAACTTTCAGCAGAATCAGTGAAACATTTCATTTTCCATTACTATTTAAAAGTTCTTCCTTGCTGTTTCATGTTTTATATGTTAAATTAGAAAATTATTACTCAAAAACAGCTATTTTACAAGAATTTTGAAAATCTGTAATCTCTATTTTTATATTTATTGTTTCTTTACGGTTCATAGAGATTTCATGTAAATAAATTGTATAATTTGAATACGCGTACATATATGCATTTGAGCACGCATATACACGCCCGCGCGCGCGCGCGCACGTACACGTACACATGTGCATATTGTACACACGTACTATGTGCTATTGAACATAAGCACGCACGCGCGCATCATATGTGCGAACATACACACTTGAGACACGACGTACGGGTTCATGCATATGTGTATGAGTATATATAGGTGCTACAAATGTATTACATCAGACTGGTATATTGTGCACATTACATACTTTTCACGTTTGTGGAAAGTATTTCTATAACAAAATTGTTTAACAGTTGAGATTTTGATTTTATATTTTGTGTTAGTGTGGTTTATAAAAACTATTCAAAATTGCATTAAAAAAATCGAGGATTACTATAATTATATTATATGATTGCAAAATAAATTAATAGGCATATACTTAAAAATATAAATAAATACTATATCAGTTAATTTTTAAATATAAAGG